TTCAATCGCCTCCTGGCGCCTCTTTGCAGCGCGTTTTCTCTTGCGCTCCAACAGCGTCTTCAAGCGCGAGGCAGAGTTGAAGACGCCGTTTGTGCCTGCCCCGCAGGCAGCACACGTCGGGTCTTTTCTGTACCTCTTGAGCGCGCATGGCTCGCAAAAGTAATGCCCGCATCTCGTGATGATCGGCGCCTTGTACGCTTCTGTACAGATAATGCACGCGAATGGGATGTTCTCCAGCATCGCGTCCTCCTCATCGTCATCGTCGTTCTCCACGTTGGTCCTGTCCGCGCTCGCTACCACGGTGCCTCCTACGTTCTTCTTGCCCTTTGTGACACTCTCCCATTCCTTATCGAGCTGCCAGCCCGCCTTGTAGTCTTCACGAGCGTGCAGATACTTGCAGTTATCGCCAAATCCACAGAAACCCGTTTTTTTATAATCTTTGCATGTGTCCGGAGCGAAGTCGGTTACGGTGATGGTTCTGATATTCGTAGGTGCCTTGATGGGCCCTACTGTTCGGCTTGGCGCATCGGGGTTCTTCTGGATGAACGATGTCTGGTTTGCGAGCCCCTTGTATGTTCCGTCAGGCGCTTGCGATGGCTTCGACCGTGTCGAACCAAGAAGGTTCTTTGCGTCGAGCGCGTCCTTGCCGTCCTCGTCATACCAGTTGCTGTGTTTTGTCGCATCATTGCTGTCCGTTATGGGTACATTACGATCGGCTTTGAAGACTGTGGCTGATAGCTCCTGCCTCGAGGCGGCTTGGTCTTTTGAGGATGCGGTGATGGCGCCGGTCTTCTTCCGTCTCTTGACCCTTTGGCCCGTTTCGTCTTCGGAGGAGTAGTCGGAATCGGAGTCGCTGTTGGCGGGTGGTGGCGTGGCGGGCCTCTTGCGGATATTGGCCTTGCCCTTGGCGCCTCTCTTCTTGAATACGGCAACGGGAGCAGCCGCTGCGTCTGCGCCTGCGTCCATGTCTGAGGTGTCACCTGGACGGGCTCGCTCGTGGGGGTATGTGTGTTTGATGAAGGACGGACAGTGTGTATCTCGCCTGCGGGAGATTTTGTCTTCGCTCGCGGTGTGCGTGTGTTTGATGAAGAATGGAGAGTATTTATCTCGTCTGCCGGAGATTTATCAAGTAGTAATTGGCAAAGGCGGTAGTTGAAATGAAGTTTGGGTGATCCTGGGGCGCTTCTTTAGCTTGGGCGTCGATCGCAACTGATGAACTTCTAGAAGGCTGAAGATCAAGCCACAAGGCTGACAAAGCGCGTGGCTTGAGCTGGGCGACAATGGTGACGGGCGAGGCCAATCAGCTGACGGGCGGGGCAGCTGGGGCTGGGCCGGTGCCGGTTGACAGGTGCAAATCAGCGGTATACCAGGGCATGACATGATTGGGCAACAGCGGGGTCATTACGAGAACCTTGCAGGGGTGAGCTTCCACGACCGGCTAGCGCAGACTCATAGCGGAACCACTGGACCAGGCTAAAATTGGCCAAAGTTATGCGGGCAACGGCCAGCAGCCTGCAGGCAAAAACACATCGAGCAGATCGCGTGTCTTTTTTGTTTTGAAGCGATGAGATATGGCGGTATGGATTGGCGGGGGAAGAAGCGAGAGGTGGTGGATGAGTTATGCCTTGCCGACGCCATGCCATGCCATGCGCGATGCGACTGATTGCTTGCATGATGCCGCGCCGCGCTGGGGAAAATTGGCTTGGGGGCGCACCCGCGGGGACGAATAATCCGTACTTTGGAGGTTATCGCTCTATCTACTGCGCAACTTGTTAATGAGGAGGTTGGGAACAAGGTCGCCAGGGTCAAGGGCCGTGTGAGGACGAGGTTGTGTTGTTGAATCTGACCCCCTCGATTGGCTACGGCTTTGGTTGTGGAGGGATAACCAGCTACAAAGAGTGTATGACTCTGAAGGGTAAAAGATGGGACGAACGAGTAAACATTGCCCCTCGATGGTGCATGAAGCCATCGTAAAACACATGCCACTGAAGTCTAGTCAGACTCCCGATAGGTGCTCCGGAGCTTACCTTACCTGAAGAGCGCAGTAGCATGCAGAAGCTGTGCTGCGTGCAGCAGGAGGCGCCCCAGCATCTGACCGTACAGTGCCCTGTACTCATTCTGTGTAACTGAGGAGGAGGAGAGTGACACCCTGTGTTTGTGCTTGTGCTGCGATCTGATTCCCCAATGCCTGGCTGCAACCGGGTGCGGCGACCCTGCAACTGTCGTCACAGTGGCTTCGCAGTGCCTCGCCGGATGGATCCCCAGAAGCTTTCGCTAAGGCATGCTGAAATTGAAGGCTCCCCAGAAGGGGGTCGAGCTGAGCTGGGGCAGTTGTGGTGATGATGATTATGATGCGCCGGATGGATGACGGCCAGGGGAGTTTGTTGCTTGGTTCTGGGAAGTTGGCTCTGCCCATGCCATCATGCCGTCTTAAGAAGATTCAGGAAGCAATAACGGTTGGCGAGGGGAGCTTTGCACACCAGCTCAATAGCGCTACCGAGGGTCAGGTAGTTAGTTGGGTAGCTACGCCATGAATAGGCGTGCGGTGGCTTGACGGGAAAGGCGAATTATCGAAAAAGGCACGCAGCGTACTGCGCGAGAGCACACGATGCGTATGTAAGGTACATGCGTTGTCGGCGCATCCCGGCGAGAGTTCATGTACCTGATCCGCCAACACCCACATACTGTAAGGTACCCGAGTTGCACACTTTCACACTTGCACAACTCAAGAGTGGCAGCTCCACGGTGGAACCCTGAAGTGCACCTGGTCGTGGTTCATTGGAGAGGATGGAGACGTTGCCAACAATCCCAGGCAAGTCGCTGAGAAAACCCTGGGTCAGACAGGCATTCGCAGGCAAATGGGACAGGCTCAGGCTTGGGGCCTAGTTCACAAGCGAACGGGCAGAGAGGAGCTGGCTCTCTCGTCAAAACCTCATGTGCTGGGTCCTGCTCTTTCTGGTCCTGGTCTGGATCCATTCTGCGGTCGAAGAGGACGGGAGGAAAACACATTCTCAATATCCCCTCGCGTCTCCTCTCTCTCATTCTTTCTCCTCTTTCCCATTAACCCTCGCCTCGCCTCGCCTTACTAACCCCCTTCTCCCTCCTTTCCCTCCCTCCACCCCTCTCTCTGTTTTTCGTGCCGACGCCGACAACCGCGACCGCGTTTCTTTCGTCCCTCACTTCTCTTTACGGACCGCCACTTTGTATTCGTAGTATTCGTATCACGAAGTCGAACTGACGACCGTAATCGGAAACCAACCACGCACAGGACACAGATCAGATCAGATACAAGAGACGTAATAATCTCTTTTCTCTCTGGGCTGTTCATGTCTATGCTGGTTCGGGGCATTTTGTTTTAATTTTACCCTTCTTGTCACCCATCTTTTTTTATTTCGTCTTACATCACCTTGCCCTGTACACATTTAGGTGTCGCGTTTACTCCCACCTTCCCTACCTCACCTCACCGCGCGGTACCAACCATCATCCAGCTTGGTCGCCAACCTACAGGTATCTTACCTGCATCTACCCGACCCTACTACCCTCACTACCACCTCCCGTTACCCTTTTTTTTTTTCATTTTTTTTTTTTTTTTATCTATTATTCTTGTCACTCTTTTTTATCTTTGCGCAAGTCTTCGTCGTCCGCCCACAGCCCACTCCGTCCGCCGCAGCGCACTCTCATTCGTTTCCGACCGATCGACCGACCGACTTGCGACCCTGCGAATACCCAACCAGCGGCCACACAGAGAGAGACACAGAGTCAGTCACCACCTCGCCAATTGGAAAGCTGCAGTCTGCTTGTTGCCCGTCGCCAATCCAACGGCGACCTGTCACTGTCGCTCCCACGCCCACCTGACTCCTCCACCGCCGCCGCTGCGCACACCGTATCGCACTGCATTGCGGGCATCCATCGTACAGCTCAGTGCCGCAATCGCTGGATCTGCAGATAGTCAGCCTTTCCCAGGGACTGACTGAGACTGAGACCTCTGCTCCTCCCGAACACGCCAGATCATTTGCTTTTTCTCCCCCTGGCATCGTTCGCCCGTCCCAACCGAGACTCCGGGAAACGGCAGACCTTTCCTAGTAATACCTTTGTCTCTCCTTCTGGCGGTTAATTCCTCATTGTCTTTTTTACCCAGCTCTTCGGCAACACCTGTCTAAAAGACGTCGTCTTCCGCCCGGTCTTTTCAGCTGACCTCATTGCGTCCGTGTGTGGAGAGCAACCTGGAAGAAAGAGAGAGAATTCCGCTGGGACCTGACGTTCTAGCGCTGCAAGCAAAGCAAGTCAGTGGTGCGGGCGCGTCTAGCTTAGGGCCATCCCACCAACCCCGTCCCATCCCATCCCATCCTCTCTAGCTGCAGCCCCCGTGCAGATACTCTAGGCCAAACAACAAAGCCGACAGGCACTGCCCTGCTTTCCTGGGCACATCCTGCTGGTCGCGTAGCCCATTTCTGGCCAGCGGCTCGATCACACAACCCGGACCGGGAACCACCACTGCTGGGGACGCATTCCAGTCAACAACACACAGCCTGCACCCGCTGTCTGGGGGGGAAACAAACAACAAAGTCAAAGGTCAACAAAAAACATCACCTCTCCCCTCCCCTCGTCCCAAGCTGTTGTTTTTTCCGTTTTCGACCATACGGCCACCGCGATCCCCTCTCCGGACCCCTCTCCTCCTCTTAGGTTCTTGTCCTTCTTTTTCTTGTCCGACCTGTTGTGTCGACAAACTTCCTGCTAGGTTCTCCAGCAGAACGGCAGCCGGCTCTGCACGCCCCGCGCTTCCCTTGCAGCATCAGCAGCAGTAGCAGCAGCAAACACAACCTCGTCCACCTCGGCCAAACTACCGGAGCTTGCTTGTTCTCGACCCGGCCGCCAATTGCGACAACCACAACCACCACCCAGACACCGAGGCGATAATAGGACAACAACCTACACCGGATAATTGCACTGAATGTGGCCGCAACGAATCTAACGGCGGCGCCCCCCTCGTTACCACCAACATGGCTACTTCACTCGCCGTCGATAAACCACATTTGCCGCCCGGCGATGCGGATGCGAACGACCCCTTCGTCTCTCCCCCGGGTCCCGCCAACCAGCGATACTCTGGATACGACAGCCAATTCTTCGCACTCGGCCCCGGCGCATCGCCCGACCAGGCCAAGCGCGCATTGCAAGCACACATCGCCGACACCGAACGTCGCCTAGATGAGGCCGGAAAGCTGGGAACAGCTTTGGTTCAGCAGCGCAAGGAGCTTGCCGAGCGCTTGAAGGAGGTAGAGGAGCAGCAGACTGAAGGAAAGCTCACACCAGACCTGCGCTCAAAACTAGTCGAAATCGAAAAGGAATTCAATGATGTCGCCCGAGAGACTGCACGGGCATTTTTGCCCAAGCAAAGGGTACCCAGCAACGAGGCTGCTGGAGGTTCGCCCTATGTTCCGGACGGCAAGATGGGAAGAGTAAGTTTCGCATCTTCTGATGATGCGCGCTCTGGCGCTAACCTCGACGCTGCAGCGCTCCGTCAGCCCCTCAAAGTTCGAGAACATCGCCACAGGCTCGCCCTCCAAGTTGGGTGTACCAAATCGCAAAGTCCGCAACCAGCCTTCAAGTCGCATACACGATATCGAGTTCGCCGCCGAAATCAGCACTTCGCTTATCGCACAAGTCCGCAACCTTCAGTCCCTCCTCGCCGAAAAGGATGAGGAGCTCAAAGACACCAAGGCCGAAAAGTCAAGGCTAGAAATCGAGACGGAGAGCTTTCAGCAGCGCGTGAAGACACTAGACGAGAGCGAAAACAGGTACAAAGATGAGAACTGGAACCTCGAGACACAGGTACACGACTTGGTCGCTGCCCAGAAGGATGCCGCCGATCGCGAAAAGAAGTTGACGCAAAGTCTCAATGTCCTGCAAGCAGAGAAAAATTCGGCGCAGAAGGAGCTCGACGAGGCTAAGGTCTCTATCGCCAAGCTGACCGAGGAGCACGAGAGATTCGCCAGGCATCTTGACCTCGACTTGACAACGGCCAAGAAGAATGCCGCCGTCGCCGAGACGGAAAGAAACGCGCTGCAGCGCAAGGTCGATGACCTGATGAGCCAGAACCAAGAGCTTGCCAGAGCCATCTCCTCTCAACGTGGACGCCTGTCTGACCGCGATTTCGGTCGTCTCCCTAGTGACGAAGACCTGGACAGCGGAGCGGACGGCTTCACCCCCGAGCACTCACCGCCGCCGTCCCCAATCAAGGGAACTCCCCGCCACGCCATGCTCGAGTCCGAGACTCTCAAGAGCTCTCTTCTGCACGCTCAGCGCACCATTCAGAGCCAGAAGACGGTCATCCACCGCGAGAAGACTGAGAAGCTCGAGCTTAAGCGACTGCTTCAGGACACCCGCGATGAGTTGGAGAAGCTTCGCACCGACGCCGCTCCTGCTCCCGCTCGCCGCAACCGCAAGGTCGAGTCTAGAGAGTTCAAGAAGCCTTCCCGCGGACTGCTTGGAGGTCACCGTCACAGCCGCAATGAGATCTACACCGACGACGCTGAGTGGGAGGAAGCTACAGAAATTGGCAGCCCCAGAACATCGCCTACCTCTTACTCGACCTCGACTGTTCGCAGACCCGGCAGCAGGATGCAGATCACGGACACCAGTGATCAGTTCGACACAGCCAATGAGACTAGCGATGCCGCCTTCGAGACCGCGAACGAGCGGGGAACTGAGACTGAGGACTTCCAGACCGGCGCCGAGGATCTCTCCGGTTCTGATTCCGGAACCGAGACTGAGAGCCCGTCCAAGGGCCGCGAGCTCCGCCAGAACTTCGCGCTTAGTGGTGGTCGCAACTCCTACGACAGCACTGCATCGACCTCAGCGGATGAAGACGACGACTATGTCGAGTACGTGCGAACACCGACATCGCAACACTCTCATCAACGCATGCGCGTCAAGCTTAGCCGGGGACTTCTCAACCGCCGCTCTAGGCAGGCGAGCGAGGAGCCAGCCTACCAAAGCAGCCCGGCCAGCGCCGCCACCGGCAGCGCTGCTGGAACACCTCAAGCTGGTGGTCAAAGCCTGTTTGCTGAGCTTGCTGAGCTCGAGACCAGCGATGCCGAGTCCGTCGAAGGCACTCCCAGCCGCGCGAGATCTGCTACCCCGAGTGCTGATTCGGAGGTTTCTCAAGCCACGACGACCATTCCCTCGTTGTCTCTCACCACTCCCGACACCAGCGGCATGACGGACCCCGTCAAGAGGCCAGCTGCTCCCAGACCTGCTATGGTTGATTCCGGAATGATGACTGAGCCGATGGTCCGCTCTCCTCCGATGTCACCCGTCAGCGTTGTCCACGATGACCGAGATATCCCATCACTTGGTTCTTTGGTGGCCGCAAACCAGATCTCCGACGGACTCAAGTCTCGGCCGCTGTCCACGATTTCCTACAGCGATGCAGGCGCTCAGTACGACATGGACGAGAAGCTCGCGCAGTTCCCTATGCCGCCATCCCCCGACAAGCAGTTCGTCCTGCCGCCACTGCCCGAGCTTAGCATGTCTTCAATCGATATTCAGGACATCGAACCCGTCGTGGAGCCTGAGACGCCTCTGCCGGCGCCAGCCCCGCTCACTATGACATCGATTGTGTCTGAGGCGGTTGAACCCAAGGCTGAGCCTGAGATCGTGCCTCCAGCCCCTGTCTTGGCCTACACCCCTCTTGTCTCGGAGGTTGTTGAGCCCAAGGCTGAACCTGAGGTGCCGCCTCCCACGCTGAGCATCTCATCCTTCCTTTCCGAGGCGGTTGAGCCCAAGGCGGAGCCGGAGGTGCCACCTCCAGTGTTGAGTCTTTCTGCACTCCACGCACACAACCTCGAGCCCGTGGCCGAGCCACCGGTTCTCCCGCCGGCACTCAGCCTGTCTGCGCTGCAAGCTCATGACATCGAGCCAATTGCGGAGCCTGAAGTTCCTCCTCCAGCTCTCAGCCTTTCGGCCTTGCATTCCCACAACCTGGAGCCGGTTGCTGAACCCCAGGTCCTTCCTCCAGCTCTGAGCCTTTCTGCTCTTTACGCACATAACCTCGAGCCCATCGCCGAGCCCGAGGCTGTGGTTCCTACGCCCGACCTCACCATGTCTGCTCTTGTGTCTGAGGACATTGAGCCAAAGGCTGAGCCCGAGTCCGAGGCCGTCAGGGCCGTGCCCGCACCTATCCCGGTTCCGACGCCGGCGCCGGCTCCAATTCTTAGTCTCTCGTCCATTGCCTCAGAGCACGTCGAGCCCAAGGCCGAGCCCGAAGTCGTTCAGGAGACTCCTGTTCTCAGCCTCTCTGCGCTCTATGCCCACAACCTTGAGCCTAGAGCAGAGCCTGCCGTTTTGCCTCCTGCCCTCACTCTGTCGTCCATTGTGGCGGAGAATGTCGAGCCCAAGGCAGAGCCCGAGATCGTTCCTCAGTTGGCGTTCTCGTCAATCGCGGCCGAGAACATTGAGCCGAGGGAGGAGCCTGAGATCATCCCTGCTCCGCCAACTCTCAGCCTCACAGCGATTGCCTCTGAAGACATCGAGCCCAAGGCTGAGCTCCCCCCGACTCTCACCTTGTCTTCGCTCTCATTCGCCAACATTATGCCTCTTGCTGAGCCTGAGGTACTGCCACCGCCGCCTCCTGCGCTTAGCCTTTCGTCCATCGCGTCGGAGAACATTGAGCCGAAGGCTGAGCCCGAGGTCCTCGCGACTCCCCCTGCCCTGGCGTACTCCAACATTCACTCCCAGGCCGTGTCGCCCCGCGCCGACCCCGTCCCCTCCTTGGACTTCTCTACGCTTCTCTCCCAGCAAGTCGAGCCTGTTCAGTCGCCTGAGGCCAAGATTCCCAAGCCCAACTTCGCGTTCTCGAACATTGAGTCGATCGAAACTCACCCAATCTCGCCTCGCAGCCCCAAGCGGGACGGCTTCATCATCCCTGCCGACATGGAATCGCCATTCGATGAGGATGTGCCCAGAACGCCCAAGAACGGCCTCATGGGCTCTGTTTTCGGTCGCGGCAAGAGCAAGGCCCAGGCCGACCCCATCATTGCGGAGGACGAGACCCGACAATCCCCTAGTGAGGTTCGACCGTCTGAGACACCTGAGTCTCAGCGGCCCTTCAAGGAGATCTCGACCAACGCCAACGGTCGCCCTGCCCGCAAGGCCACGATCCAGACGACTGACATGGGCGCCCAGACTTCGCTCACAGCTGAGGCAATCGATGAGATGCTCTTGGCCAAGGCTCAGCCTGTCGAGGCTCAGGACAAGTCGTCGGTTTTCATTGGCACTCCCAACTCTTCGGGCACTGTTCGCATTCGCCGCCCGTCTCACGACAGCCTCAGCAGCATTTCCACCGAGCAAAAGATGGGAAGACCAAGCAGTGCTAGCAGCAACCGCATGCTTAACCAGCCGCTCCCACCGCTGCCGACGGGCCACAAGGAGGCTATCGAGGCGGCAAGGACTGGCTCCAGAGCTGGATCGTCACAGGGAAGCATGGGCCCCCCTCTGTGGCCCGCTTCTGCCATGAGGAGCCAACGACCGCAAACCCCTAACGGCGGACGGCCGCAGTCTCCCCTGTCAATTGTCACCAAGAACTCGGCTACTCCTCGCATGGCTCGGGCTGGTCCTTCATACGGAACCGCCGAGGTTGCTGTTCAGTCCCCGACTAAGCTGTCGACCATGAGCAGACAATCATCGGTGTCCTCCTTCGTCTCCGAGATTGACCATCGCTTCAACCCTCGTAACGAGCTGGGTGGCATGGACCCATCTGGATTTGGCGCCAACACCGACCCTCGCATGATCCAGGCCATCACTTCCACCATGATTGGAGAATACTTGTGGAAGTACACCCGCAAGGCTGGCCGTGGAGAAATCTCCGAACACAGACACAGACGGTACTTCTGGGTCCACCCATACACTCGCACCTTGTACTGGAGCGACCGTGACCCGGCAGCTGCCGGTCGATCTGAGCTCCGTGGCAAGAGTGTCCCGATTGAGGCTGTTCGTGTGGTGACGGACGACAACCCCATGCCCCCCGGCCTCCACCGCAAGAGTTTGATTGTTATCTCTCCTGGCAGAACGATCAAGTTTACATGCACAACCGGCCAGAGACACGAGACATGGTTCAACGCTCTGTCTTACCTCTTGCTCCGCACAGCCGATGAGGGCCAGTCTGACGTCGAAGAGATGGCTGGGCACATTACCCAGGCCGATGTGGACGAGTTCAACCCCCAGTTTGGCCGTCGCACCAACTCCACGGCTCGCCCACGGCCGCCTCCATCCGTGTCCTCGTACAACTCGAGGACGACCCGCAACCAGTCCCCTGCGATTGACATGTCGATGAATGTCCCTACTCTGACCCCCAACAAGGGTCAGGCCCAGAGACCTTCCATTGGGACCCTGGGAAGGATCAGCGGCTACTTTAACACCTTCTCCAGCATGAGGAGCCGCAGTGGAGTTGCCCCCAACTCCAGCATTTACGAGGCCAGCGAGGTGCACGATAGTGCGGAGGACCTCCGGGAAATTATTGAGAGACAAGATCGGGATGCCGACCGACTGGAGAACGTGCGCGCCTGCTGCGATGGTAAGTCTGGTCCGCAAGAAGCCTCACATTGCAACGATGCTAACAAGTTCACAGGCAAGCACGACGTTGGTACACTTCATCACCACTCTAAGAGAGGCCAGCCTTCTGGCTCCCACTCCCACTCTCAACCCGGACGTTCTGCGTCTGCCATGAGCACCTTAAGGTCGCGAGCCTAAGCTGGTGGTTCGCATTCCCATCGAACATCTCCACGCGGCTGTTGAGCAGCCTTCCTTCCCAAGTAATTTTAAAAGCAATGAAGCATTCTTCCCATCCACTCGCTACGCCACAACTGGCCCGGGGGTACCATCCCCACTCTCATGATCAATTCGCTCGCACGCAACGGATCACGACGTCTATGACAACCTTCTCCTTGCCGTCTAAACAGCCTGGGATTACCCTGCATGCCCAAGGCACCATTCTCCTTCCGTTTCCGACCTAATCAGTCACGACTTGCATCCAGGACACCGCGTCCTACGACCAATTTCCTTTTTGCGCGTCTTAGTCGAATGACTCTTGATCACGAAACCAACCACCACCACTACCGCCACCACTGCTAAAACCAACCCGCGAAAAAAAACCACCGGGGATTGCCAAGATCCAAACTTATCTGGATCATGCTGGCTCTTTCTTATCTTTTTTTGTGTCCGTCTCTTGTTGTACTACGGGGAGCAACCTGTTCTTGTTCCGTATGGGGAGTTGGGTTAATCAAACTTGCCGAGCTCTTCATTTCACCGGCGTGTCGAGGCGAACTGGGGGGACCCGTGGATTAAAGCATGCATGGATTGGCATTGGGCAAATGTACCACAAACACAAACCACCGCGATGGGAATCAGTGTGGAGTTTTCCTCTTTACCGTTTTGCTTTACACAGCGCGGCACTCTATTGTGTTTGTTGGCACTCACACACCAAAAAAACAACAATCTTCTATGTACAACCTCTCTCTCTTGTTCTCTAACTCTCTCTTTTTTTACGTTCAGTATTAAGCTGGGGCGTGGCTCCGGCAGTCTAGTGTAGATGTAATGCCTAAAGTTGATTCTGCCCTTGATCATTTGGCGCGCGCACGCGTTTGCGTTCTAGCGTGACTCGGGAACAGCTCCGACTGGGATCATCCCGCGACTTGACATGTGATATTTCAGGCGCCGTTTGTCATCTGTCACCGCCACCCGTAAACGGGGGATGGCATTTCGAGGTTAGCTTCTTTGCTTGTCGTAATTTCGGTCCGGACGGATGAATAGGTCCACTGGCCAGGCACAAAGTCGACGGTTGTCTTGATAAAGTGTGGATATGCTATTCTCAGCCCGGGGACACTAACCATCATATGTACAGGAACAGTTTTTCAAGCGTCTGTTGCGTGCTCTCTTTCCTCCTTTATGCTGCTGCTGCTGTTTGGTAATGATCATGGTATCCTGAAATAACGCCCCTTCCGTTTGCCCGAACCCGATTTACCCTAATCCCAGAAACCCTGATGCCAAAGAAACAAACAAAAAATTCACTATTTAGCTCGTCGCTGCCGTGGGAGCCGCAGTTCCATTACTTCCCGTGATGATGGGCTTCTTGTTCTCTTCCTCGTATACGTCGTTGGTGTTATCGTCTTCCATCCACGCGGAGTAGTCATCGTCATCGTCCATGTTGGCGGGCACCGCCTCGATGGGGCTCGTGCGCCTCTCGGGGAGGGGCGGCGGGGTGCGACTTGCTTCTTCGCTGGCGGTGCTGCCGCTGCTTCCACGGCTCTCGCGGGAGGGAGCGGTCGTAGAGATCGGTTCCTCATAGTCTTCCGTGTCTTCGGCCCATGGCTGGACGTATGCCGGTGGAGGGCCGTCCTCGTCCATCGGGGTTGTGGGCTCAGAGTCGAGGGGCGCTTCGACGACAAGCATGTTTTCGCCGCCGTCGTTGCTGTTGTCGATGTGGCGGCGTGAGGGTAGCGGGGGAGGCGGCACTGGTCTGCGCTCCGAGCGGTCCGACTTGCTTTCAACCAACGGGGGCGGAATCGGCTTGCGAGCCGGCCGGCTTTCGGACAGCGCAGCTGAATGGGGTCGCTCAGGCAGCTCTGGAGGGGATATAGGCTTCCGCTTCTGCACAGGGATCGTGGTGATTTTTGAACCCTTCACGGGAGGCGGGAGGGGTGTGCCGGGTGGTGGCAGAGGTTGTCCTCGTCCCATCGGTTGGTTCAGGTCTACCGGCGGATTTTGCTCACTGGCGTTTCCATTCCTGGCGTCCTTGTGTTTTTGGAGAGCGTTCCAACCCCACTGCCTTGCTGTGACTGCAGCATTTGCGACGGCAGCAAGCGTGGTGCGTTTTCCTTCGCCGTTTGTAGAAGCAGCGCTCGATGCCACCGTGCTATTCGTATCTCGCCTGAACAAGCCCTTGGAGATTGAGCCCGTAGCGCTCTTGATCGAGGCTGCTTTCGAGGATGCCGCCGTTGTTGAGCTTGGATCTGTTGACTCGGTCGCTCGTAATGACTCGGCGGACGATGTCGTGCTTCGTCTTTTGTTAGCTACTGGCGTTTGATCGGTCTCGTTCTCATTGTCAGTAGCTTCGCGAGAGGACGCAGAGGACTGGCTTCGTGCTTTCGCGACGGGTGGTGGCTTTGCGGGAGTATCGGTGGGTGTCGCGGCAGCGGAGTTGCCTTGGGATCTTGCTGACAGCGCTGCCATCATACTGGATGCGTGATCCGGCGGTGAGCTGGACGGCTTAAACATGTCTGCGTGAGCCGCATCCGTTCCGACCACTGGGTTCGCTGGACTCGATACGGATGGCGATCTAAACGGCTTAGGCTTAGATGCCGGTGATGTAGGCGAGCCCACGACATCGACGCTTGTGGACGAGCTGTTCAAGGGGCTGCTAGTTCCCTTGCCTTGTATCTTCCTGCCGAACAAGCCAGGGTGTGACGAGTTCTCAACGATCGGCATGCTGTGACTCTTCTCGAACGGCCTCATATCGCTTGGTCTGAGGTCGCTTTGCAGGTCCCCTGTGTCCTCCAAGCGGTCAACCCCCTCCACATCGCCCTCTTGTGCGACGTGAGCCTCCATGCTAGGCGAGCCGACGACAGCGTCATCGTCTTCCCAGATTCCGCCTCGCCACTTCTTGTGCTCCGTGTTAAAGAACGGCATATCGTCCCAGAACGGTTGCACCAAAGTTTCCGCAATAACCTCCTTAATCCGGTTTTCAATCTGTCGTAGAATAATGGTGTAGGTGATTTGCCTAGCACTGACAATGGGCTCGATGGTCATCTCCACTTTCGGCTGGCTCTGGAAGGAGAGCCAAATTCGGTTACTCGGTGGCGGCTTGATCTTGAAGAGCATGTGTCCTTCAAGCTTCTTCAAGACGACGGCGAGAACGAGGTCGACCTCGCGGACCTTGAAGCGTGACCCAAGGTCGATGCGAGCTGTCGCAGCCACCTCGATTCGGAAGTTTCCAGTGTACCGTACATCTGCCTCCATCACACACTCGCCCTCCACGTTCAAGTCCCTGTGGCGAGGGTTAGTGATGATGGGGGCTGATTCGCCAGTTTCAATCCCGCGGATGGCAATGTTAGTGAGGAATGACGGCCGCTTCACCCGCGCAATCTTCTTAGTGAGCTTCTCTCGAATCAGGTGTTCCAAATCGGTCGTTTTGTATATTCCGAGGAATATGCGTCCAATCATGGCATTCAGCCACCGAGTAGACAGATGCTCCTCGGACGAGTGCAGCTTCTGGACCAAAGAAATAATGTTCTTGACCTCAAATTGCTTCGGTTTGGGCGCTATCCGGTCATTGCCAAAAGTCTGCTCCTGGTTGCGGAGCAAAGCGAAGTAGAAGTCTTCCTTTGCTGAGCAGTTCTCCGAGAAGAGGTAGAACGGTTTGGAGAGCTGACTGTCCGGACCAACCTCCGGGCCATCTGGCCTCCTCGACAAACATAACGCGTTCCGTTTGATGTACAACTCTCCCTCAGGCGTTACGTCTCCTCCGGAGTATATACTGACATCGTGGTGCGCAAGTGATATAACGTGTCGGACCTCGATCTGCTCGTCATCGTCAAAGAGCATCAGATGCCCATGCCTGGTACTTGTCAGTCAAAGTCGTGAGGCGCATGGACAGGGTGCACCGACCTGAGAACAACATAGAAGACGTTGCCGGCGTTCTTGGGACGCTGGCTCAACCCGTTCCTGTCCAAAGGTCCTGGTGTCGGCTTCCGCTCGAAGATGCTCTTATACATGGTCTGGTAGACGCTCTGGCTCGGCGCGGCGACGGTAGTCGACCCGGTGGGCGTGGCTCGCTCGATGGGCTTCGCGTTGATCCCCATGGGCGTGTATTCACGGCACACGGCGAAGTACCCCGCTGCTACGTCGTTATCCTGGGTCGCAGGCCGCTTCGCCGAGCCGTCGTCCTTATCGCCAGCCTTTGCGGCTTGCAGAGCCGTGAGATCGTCCCCGGGCTGCACGACGGAGTCCTGACCGCCATCGGCGTCAAGGCTTGTGTCGGCATCCTGGCGGTAGGGCAGAGTCAGGTAGGCATGAACGAAGACGGCGACGACGACCAAAGGTATGAAGGTCAGGCCTCCCAGGAGATAGGTGAACAAGAAGCCGGTCCAGCCCCCCATGGCTGCTGTCGCTTCACCTCCGTCTCCCAGGCGTTCGTCTGTCGCGCGGCTGCACTACAATCTGCAGTGCTGCTAGCAGATGGGTATGACGAAGTGGAGGGGTGTTGTCGGGAGCATCGGACGCTTGTTTCTGCTGGCGTGAATCTCGGGGTGGTACGATTCGATGTTTCGCGGGGAGGGAATGGAAGCTCTTGTTTCAGGACGAAGGCAAATAAACACACGATTTAGCAAATGCGACTTTTCAGAAAGTGGACAAAAAATCCCACGCGGGTTTCTAGGTCTTGGCCGCAGGACGGCGTTTCTGGATCGAAGATGGATCAGGTAAGACCAGTGGGAGGTCAGGTAGGCAGGTACTCTGGTCACTTTTGGAGCTTCCGGCGTCCAATGAGTTGCTCGAATGCCGTCATGTGATGGAGTTGCGGCGGGTGCCTTCCATATGACAGCTGGCTTGTAAGCACCTGGGCAAGTAAAGGTAGGTACCTACAGACAGCCTGTACAAAGACCCTTTGACTTTGGGGGCGAGAGTGAGCGCTGTAAGGTTGAGTTGTGGCCGGCCCTTCGGAGGCGTTCTCAGGTCTGACCTTGTGTGGATACGCA